CCTCCTCCGGACCCCTTTATCCCTCTCTCCACCCTGCCCCTCCGCACCCTCGTCTGTCGACGAAGAACTTTTGACCGAAGGAGATGGCCGGCCGGTCATCCCTATATTCATCGTAAGAAGTTATTATCGTGGCTAAGGCATCGAAAAAAACCTCTTCAGACTTCCGGTTCGAATCTTTTAGAATCGAAATACTCAGAAACGAAATCACTGATGTACGAATTGTTTTTTTTTTTATTTTTTTTTTTAATGAAATCAATATCCGTCAGCGAATAGCAAATACGATTATAAAACAAATTACATCTTTACATACTCTAATCTTTTGTGTATATACGATGTGTATGTTAAACAATTTAATATTTTAACAACGAAATTTATTATGAATGCATTTAAATAATTTCATTAAATATAGGAGTTAATTCGAGCTTATTTAGCTCGAACAAAATTCTTATGAAACGAATACTGTACTTATATCATGCTTGTATCATCCACAATTGCATTTTAAAGAAAAGATCTCGAATATTTCTTCGTCCAATTTTGACGGTAGAGGCACGACGTTACATATAATTCCCCCTGCTACGCTTGCATAGGAAAGGCTGAATCACGACTTTGTTCTCCGATTTTTCCGCGGGCCCTAAGTTCGACGAGGTGTCGGGTAAGACACTTGACTCGAGGACGTGGATACGATTCAGCAGACTGGTATCGAGTCAATAAGATCCCCGCCGGGCATATAGGTTCTGTCCGGGTGGTCCTGAGCTCCCGGGCATTCTCGGGGCCTCAAGGCCTGCGGAGCACGCGGACCAGGCGCCCCTTTATCCTGGGACTGACGCGTAAGACAATGTAGCCCTGGCCCTCTGATTGATACGCGATACTATCCACGTATCGTAACACCACGTCTTCGAAACATACCCAGTGTGTTCTCCCAGTGTGTATTTTTTTATCGAATACTATCTTGGATTAAATTCTAAGAAAATTGACGATCATCTGCTTCCACGCTTGTACGTATTTGCGATTTACATGATTTTTATATCAACGTAATCCGCCCCCCCCCCTCCCCCCGTTGGCCAACGTGTTATTGTTCTTAAAGCTTGCGAGGAACGATATGGAAAGTGAGTGAAGGAACTGTGACAGTCTCCCACGTCGAGAAAAGTGTACGACAAATATCGTCGTACACACGAGGTACCACGAGGTATACGGATGTTCTCTCGACACCCGTTGCATTAGCCGCGACGCCGCTCTCCGTCAACCGGTTCAATGATATCTCCTACGTCTTGGCGATGATTTATTCGACGTAAGATGGCTGACTTGGGTTACCCAGCGGCTCCCCTTCAGCGTAAGTACTCTAAACAGAAGCTATTGTGAACGTCCACGGTGAGATGGACGTACCCCACGCACGAAGCATGGATCTCCGATGCTACCGGACGCGCACACGCCCGTGCACGCGTGTACGTGCACGCGCGCGCACACCAGCGCATTTATGTTTGATCATCAGTCGCGGGGATCGTTGGGG